GACACATCTGTAAATAAATACGGTGTGTGCGCTTTTTTCAGCGGTGGGATATGTAGGCGGTAAGATTCCTGCAACGCTAACAGACACCGAGTCGAAGTAAATTGTTCAAAGAATAGAATTGTAACGCGTTATGTAACCTAACCTTGTGATTATAGAAAGCAATGAACAAGAATTAGAAAGCTCACTTATGGATACGCCTCGAAATAGATCGCAGCAAATAAATCAATTGGACCCTTTTTATTGGTGCGACCTCGCCGATTTTGCTTATCAGAAGAGAATCGAAATTGAGCGAGAAATGCATTTGTTTTGTTGTCTAGCGGAGTGTAAATGTTAACGTTTTTTTTTTCATTGTTGCTTGTGTGTGCCTTTGTTGTGTGTCCTTGTGACGAAAGTTCGCTTGTGATATTTTTTATTGTTTTTTAATGGACGCTAACAATGTGTAGTAGCAAAACAGGAGTGACGTTTTTTCCCTAATTTAGCATTAATTAAAGAGGTAACAGTTAAGGAATATATCACGGGTGAGAACACGACCTCTGCAAAGGTCAGGAAGCAACAGTTTCTCAGGAAATTTGCACCATTTTAGCTTCCTTTCATCGTGACTCAAAATCAACAACGAGTTCATCGACTAGTCATGATATTGACATATCTGAAGGAGTGTAAGCTATCCTATTGTTCAGGTTGCACTTTAGTTATTCTTTGTAAACACTTTCTGTGTGCATTGGAGCGTTAATTACCGAAAGTATTTTAGCGACTTTGGTTAAGTATGTAAACACTGCATACTCTAATGCCAGCAGGAATCAGTAATGCGCCGTTTCGACATCATTTCCTGAACGGCTTTTTCAGCTTGACGAAATTTATTTTGCATAGATAATCGAAAATTATGGAGGAAAACCGTGCAATGAAAGGAAGAGATCGATGCTGAATACGGTAATGCTCTATGTTTTTGCCGCTGCCTGATCCAGTTTATTATGCGGGTTATTAAATAATGGAGACCAGAAGAGCGTGAGTATTTATCTTAATGAGCTAGACCATATAAGGGGACGTTTGAGTACCGTTTGGGTGAACATTTGTCGCATATGGTGGCACTGCAACGTTGATTTAAACTTTCGTCATGTACCGTCAATGAGTAATAACTGATTCAGCCGTGCATTCCTGCGTTCATTAATCTATGACGAAGAAAAACCCCAAAGATCGGGGGAAAATTTGGAAATTGGAAAATATTCACCGAACAATGCGGAGTGGAACTAGCGTGACTAGTTCGACACATGTTTGTTGTATGAATAAGTGTTATTGACCTACTCCACGGCGATAATGGTTTTACTAAAGTGAGGAAATGTGGCAACCCGCTGGTATTTCGGAAATGATTCGAATCACTTGTGGAAAGCTGTGATTAACCTCAACCTTAGAAATCCGTGCTTACCTCTTTCAGCGTCAGCTGTTTGTTGGCCGCTGGAATCGTCAATGGAGTGTGACAAACGCTTTTTCTGTGTTTCCTCCCATTTGGCATCGAGGCGGCTGTAAATTGCAGCGATTGGAGTATTTTGGGATGTGCATTAAGCTGCAGCGACACTCAGCCAGGTTAATCCGTTATGTAAATCGCAGCCATCAGTAAGGCACAGTTGTTAGTTAATGTTGCGATAGAAGATAAATATACAAACTTGTTTTAATTTTTAAGTGTTAGTAAAAGGTTCATTAGTTTGCAATCACTTGAAGTGGGTAGTCAAACCGCTTTCCTGCCGCCAGTTGCATTGTCTTTTCTTTCTTTTTCGACATTTCTAATCATGAAGAGTTAACACAGGTCGAAGCTGTCGAAAAATCCAATTTGCAAATAAATAGTAGTATATTTTGAGGTGCTCGGGTTTCTGCCGGATGGTTGTCTGCAACGTCACAGGATTAGTCATCACTGCAATTTACCGTTCACGCGGAGGGTTTCTTTCGCGACCACACGCCAAATTTTTTGACGGACGGAAAAATAAACAATAGTCCGTGCCTCTCTAATTATAGACGCCCCAGATTCGTTGCCAATAATTAATAAAAACGAGACAAGCTTTCGCATATCAGCAGGAGAACGGGATTCTGCGGAATTTGATCTTTCTCAGGCCCGAGGCGTTCTTTAATTGCTTCCCACGCAATTAGTCTAGAAGCAGATTTTGTTTTCTATACTGATCAGATTAATTAATCTGTTGGCGTGGACGTGTTGGCAACAATAAAAAAAAATGGAAATAGTGTGACGCCGGTACGAAAACTACCATCGTCAAGGGCAACGATGGCAATTAAAGTAGATAATGTGGAAATGTGTTTGGCTTGGCGACAGCTGTTTGTCGAAATTAATTTTTCGAAAAGCGACACCGATTTACGTGAATGATGGTAATGAGGACGTCAGACTAACGAGTTTGAGTCTAATTCAAGAATGTTCACCTCTTAATCCAAAAATCTCACTATTTTTAGAACTGGTTGATAGAACGTGAGCACCGTTGCATCTGCTGATCTGCGCTGAATGAGACAATGCAAACGGAACTGGACAGTTGCAGAGATGTTAACTTATCTCCTTCCTGTTGAGCCGCAGACTTAAGTTTACGTGGAGCACGATTGTCGTCCGAATTAAATGCACCGTACGTTCAAAACCAGTGGCGCTCCGCCTCATATTTATGGAATGCGGGTATTCATATGTGTGGGGCAAGCCGGGAAAGCTATCGACCTTGACTCGCATTGTTTCTTTGTCGAAACGTTGGCGGTTTGACATTGCGAAAAAGGCGGGAAATTAAAATACTTAACGGCTCTCTGGTTTTTCCGTCGCCGCAAATTATTAATTATTTATTATTTGCAGATATTGCCCCACTTGCGGTCACGTGACCGGTTTGCGAATGTGGCAGATGGTGTTTGCATGTAATTGTCCAGTCAAAGTGGCTTTGCCGCTTTGTCCAAATATAATCAAACTTTGGACAATATGTGCCGATTTATGACTTGTAGCGTGATTTGCATTTATGAGTAGTTGGTGGCAGAGGGTGACGAGCCGCCCCTGCGTTGCATACGTTACGGTACTATGGGAAATGGGCCCCGAGGATATTATTACATCGCGTTATAAGCATGTAGTGTTACGGACCTTGCTTTTGGTTTATATATAATTTGGCGCATTGCCCGTTTTGCATAATTCCTCTGTGAGTCAGATGCGGCCAATAAACTGATTTTATTGAAATTTCGTACGAAATGATACATTCCCGATTTTGTTCAAAGAGAATCGAATTGTTTTGAATTGTTTTCTCGTACATTAAGTACTCATTGGCTGTGAAAGATAGCTGAAAGAAATTTTCCGGTTCACACTTTTTCTCAATAGCTTCATTCTCTCGGAAATTATAAATTAATTTTACTTTTAATCGGAAATGCAAACCGCACGGGTAAATAAAGCGGATTTCGGGTGATTCAGTTTCATAAAAAGCAGAGTGCACTACTTGGTAAATGAGTAGGAAGTGGCTTCTTGGGTGCAATATCAATGAAACGTCTGTTTGGAATTTTATCGTCATTCCTTGTATGGTCAGTTGAGACGGTATTATTTATTTACACAAAGTGTCATTGTGACAACCAATTACGGAAAGTAGCGTCATTTGTTTGAGTATTTCAGTTCGTTTACACGTTCGTGTCATATAAGGAAGTTACACGATTTTGGGTGTCAATTTCAAGAAGTTCGTGTAAAAATAACGTCGTTGTGAAATACAGGAAAATGTTTTTTTTTTTACCTTTTTCAAGGATGTTCAAAGCGATAACATATTCTAAGGATTGATAAACTATTGCGTTGTATACATACATTGTTTGTTATACAATACATCAACATTTATATCTGTATTATTCAAATTATTGAAGTGTTACTATTTACATAATTGATGTGTGGCATAGGCAACCAGTAATACGCCTGACCATGCTCGGACCCGTGTTTCTAGAAGGCGGCACATCACATAATTATTTCGTATTTTTAATTTAACTGTCCATTAAATTATTAAAATTTGTTTCACATGATGTGCCAATTAATAAACCAATTAAAAACATTTAATTTCGCAATGGGTGTTAAAGTGGAGTGGAATTAATCGATTATTCTCACGTATTCTGGTATTTCACGGTCAGATTTGATACGATTATGAAAGTTGTTTTATGGAACTATAGCTAAATAGTTTAGGATGCCAGGAAGTGATTTGTCCAAAAATAATACCTAGACGTTAGATAAATTTAACAGGATTCAAAAAGTTTCACGTTTGAGCTGTGCATCTTTCACGGGTGATGTATTTTATCGAAGTGTCAAGTTAATTTGATACATTTGGTTGATCTTAAGGCGATGATGAATGTAAATTTTTGAACACCTGTCGTTTTCACATGGCTCTTGGCTGCAGACAGTTGACATATGTTGTGAAAGATCAGTAAAGTTAGATACTCTCTCCAACATAAATTATAGTTCAATTCGGCGTTTTTGTTTTAGTTACAGTACACTGGAAACGTTAAAAATAAGCCTTAATACTTATTTTTTTTATGGTTACTGATTTATTATAAATCTGCAGTGCACTTTAATTATATACAAAAGTATTTTCTTCTTTTTATTTATAATAAAAAGTTATGAAACTACACAGATTTAAAAATAAAGTTTTGAGAACAGTAGGTCGGCTGTAAAAGTTAAAAATAAAGGCTGAATTTGTACATAAATCCACTATTTGGAAATAAACTTGGCTTAACAACCTTCGGGACTGTGTTTCAGGAATTTTTCTTCGTTGGTGTTTTCTTTCCGATCCAAAATTATCACATATATAAAATAAATTTCTCGTTCCTTCATGGTTAGACGTTTTTCTTAAATCTGAACGCAATAACAACTGTTGGAATTTATTTATTACTAATACCAACACTTGAAGATTTTTTTTAATACCGGCTGAGGTCAATTCCCGTTTCTTCTCCTCCCTATCCACGTACGTCTTCAGAAACACTCACCCATTCGTCTTATTACATTTCTTCTCCAATTCTAGACATTCACAGCATGGTGCAACAGTCATCTCCGCAAGGCCGGCACAGCAATCGAAAACATCGAAGAGGACTTCCGCAACGGCCTAAAACTCATGCTTCTGCTGGAGGTCATCTCCGGCGAGACCCTGCCCAAGCCCGACCGTGGCAAGATGCGTTTCCACAAGATCGCCAACGTCAACAAGGCCTTAGACTACATCGCTAGCAAAGGTGTTAAGCTCGTTTCGATCGGCGCCGAAGAAATCGTGGACGGCAACTTGAAAATGACCCTCGGTATGATCTGGACCATCATTCTTCGTTTCGCCATCCAGGACATCTCCGTCGAAGAAATGACAGCCAAGGAAGGGCTGCTGTTGTGGTGCCAGCGCAAGACGGCGCCCTACAAGAACGTCAACGTGCAGAACTTCCACCTGTCGTTCAAGGACGGCTTGGCGTTCTGCGCACTTATTCATCGCCATCGCCCTGATCTCATCGATTACAGCAAATTATCCAAAGATAACCCTCTGGAGAACCTCAACACTGCCTTTGATGTCGCCGAGAAGTATCTCGACATTCCTAGGATGTTGGATCCTGATGGTAAGGGGGAGAGAGGGAGGGGCGGGGATGATTGCACATGGGGCTGTTAAAATGAGAGAGTACGAAAATGGCGTTGAAGCAAAAAAGGGAAAATATTTTTTTTTTACAATAAATAAGAATGTTATTTAGAAATTTCATTTTTCGTTAATTGTGTTGAAGCTCTATCGTAACGAATATAGGCCACGAGAGAAGATGAAGCTAGAAGCTTTTCTACAATAGTTTTTGAAATTTTTTACTACTTTGACATACGAATTTTGTGCTTTACTTTAGCACCATCTTAAAATGATATAATCGCGCTAATATTGTCAATTTAACGATATCAGAGATATCTCAATGGAAGTGACATTGATTTTTATGATGTATTGTGCTCTTTGTTATATTAAGATCATAATTGTTTTTGTTAAACGTTTTATGAGACTATAGTTTTTCAATAACTGTTAAATTTAATCGCTGTGTAGGAATGTAAATTTTTTGAAATATCCGTTGGTATTTTAAGTGTTTTTCTTTTCTTAGTAGAAAAACTTAATTCACCAATTCTTGAGGATTAAAAATTATATCGAGTAAATGTAAAACTGGTTTTTAAACAAAGGTATAATGAAAATTAAAAAAAATATATTTTTAAATTGAACTAATAGCATCCATTATAAATAAGCTGCATAATTTATCTACTAGGCCTGAACACTGAGAACTCAAATGTGGCATTCTGCATTGTTTTAGATGTTCTGTGTTTTTGTTTTTTATATTTTGTAACATATTTCGATCCATCAGACAAAAAGTGTGCGAATTTCGAACGTTGGAAAAGACGGTTAAGATCTTTTGAATTGTTTTTAAAAGCAAATATTGGCTAGAGCGTGCGAGAAATTTGGTGTACACTTCTGGAATCCCAAGTATATGATGTTTACACAGGCTGCAAAAATGTGTCAACAATTTTGCAGCCAAAGAAAAATTACAAGTATGTACGTCACGCTTTCCGCTCGATGTGCCAAAAAGTAAATGAAACTGTTTATTACACACGTGAGTGTCGTAGGTATTAATTGCTGTTTTAAAAAAAAACTAAAGAGGAAATGACTGTTGACCAATCAGACGTCAGTTTAATGAATAAGATGACAAAAGAAATTAATAGAATTTTGAAAGATTCGTCAACTTGGTGGCTACAAGCGTTTGGTAAAAAAGAAATTTGTGAAAAAGAACGGAAGTGTAGTAGGTTGGTAGAGAACTTTGATATTAATTAATAGTTAATATCGTTACAAAAAGTAAATACTTCAATAAAGCAAAATTACTGAAACGATGTAGACATATTTTTCACATATATTAAACTTAGTGCCATTTAATGTCATTCATAACAATTCGTTTTAAATTATATTACAGTGTCTTGAATTTAATAGGCGATAATGTCACTGACCAAGTGCCAAAAGCACATACGAAACATTAGTTCGACTTGTTATTCAGCACAATCATTAATTTAATTTCCTAACTTTGAACTCTACGACAGGTAATTTATTGTGTAATCAACATTTTAAACTTGAAATTCCTAGATTAAAAATAAGTATGACGTTTTGCAGGAAATTTGGAAGAATTACGTTGTTGCCTAATTGTAATCAGATAATTCTATCAGTGATAAAAAGTTTTCCGGTATTATTATTATTATTAATGGTGACATTATCAAGATAAAAATGTGTTGTTACTTGTATCACGAAGAATAGAAATCTAAAAAAAAATAATATTAAGAATGGCGATGTGCCGCCTACTCCAAAAGTGAATCGTACACTCGTCTCTTTATAAAATATTTGTATATTTCTGTCATTTTCTAATTAAAATAAAAGCATTTGCTTGTCGTTTATAAATCTCCCCAATTGCTCTTCCTTTCTTAACGTCACATTTACGTCAGAATTAGAGACTCAGACACCGAAAATAAAACATACAAGGCCATTAAAAAGCACGTAATCAGTTTTATATCACATTTTTTTTTATTTTAAGTCTAGTCACCTGTAGACTATTGTTTGCTACAATTAGGTTGTATTATGTATGTTATCTGATGCCAGGCAGTGACGAAAATTTTATTTAAATTAAATTCGTCTCAACAGTTGTTTTGAAAACGAATATTGACGATATACCAACTGAAAAAATAGAATTCTTGTTAATATTACAGCTAAAATCAACTTTTGTTAAGTACATTCCTATTAAAACCTAATATTAGCTGCTTAAACATGTACCTAATTTGATAATGAAGCGATATTAGCGAGTGATAAGGAAAGAATTTTGCATGAACGTGTTTTCGTTGTTTTAATTGAGTTCGGTTTTATTTAAAAAAACACAGAATAAAATTGTTTTCATTGAATCATGTAATGTATCATAATAACAGTAAGTAATATGTCTAGAGTTACGGTATCGACATATGGAAGATTTCATTGTATATAATCAACTCAACTGAACTAGTAGTGGAAAAACTAATTAATGTTATTACGACAGAAACGACGAAGCGACAGTTATTTTGAATTTAGGACATTTATAAATAAAACAATTACTAGTTTAGCTATTATGTCACCCATTTTGTGTCGCACCTACCTGTTAATACCCATTTCATCCGTTACGTCAAAGCTAAAACCAACAGAACATACAAATTAATTCAAATTACCTCGTTTTTTGAACCTGAGACGATCTAGAAGGTCTGTCAGACTTAGAATGTTCAAAATTCAATATTACAGAGCCAAGTACAACCACAAAATTGTTCAATTCTAGAAATTGTACGAAAAACTTATCTGTACTTCGAATTTCGCAAGCATATGGTGACTGTAAATGTTTTTTGAGATTCTCAGTACCCACAGGAAGTGAGAGCTTGCCATTAAAATAGTAAATTTAGAATTTTTTATTTGGCACACATGTGGTGGGCTAAATTGCGATTACATGCTGCAATACTTCGAATATTTTCACCACGTTCAGTGCCTGAAGTAATTATAAATGCACCTTATTCAAAAAATTTGAAACCAAACGAATATTGATTAATATTTGAAATATAATTTGGGAATATTGAAATGAATACTAAGTTACTGCTACACATTTAATACCAACATTAAGTGCCTACAACAGCTTTACCACGAATCGATAGAGACATCAAATGAAATTTTCATGTACTCTACCATTTAAATTTTTAACTTCCCTTTTAAAGTCGGGATTTACACGTGTCCGAAATGAAATATTTAACAGCCTTTAAGTAGAAAGTGTGGGAGACATAATGAAGAAATGAAAAAATAATTACAGATTTAATCAACACGCCTAAACCTGATGAGCGTGCCATCATGACTTACGTGTCATGTTATTATCACGCTTTCCAAGGGGCCCAACAGGTATCGATTGTACGAAAGTGTCAAATTAACCCGGCCTTTAACAAACCACTTTTGCAGTTTGCAGCTGTTTTTAACCGATAAGTAAACTCACGCCTATACTAAGTGAGCGAATTACAACCCCTAATACAGTTTTTGTTTTTGTTGTTTTTTATTTTTTCTAATTCGAATTTTGTGATGATGTGGTTTACTTGTTTGCATGCAGATTTACAGAACACCGCTATGCCGGACGAAAGGGCGGTGATGACATACGTATCGTCCTACTACCATTGCTTCTCAGGTGCACAAAAGGTGATTTCATTATGTATGTAATAATACCTTAACCCGACTGCTTTTTAATACTTTTTGAATTTTTTTGATACAGTTTTTGTAACATGATCTGTATCAAGGTGAGGACGTGTTTTCACTAAGTTTTATGTTTCTAGGCTGAAACTGCCGCTAACAGAATCTGTAAAGTACTGAAAGTCAACCAAGAGAATGAACGTTTAATGGAAGAGTACGAGCGTCTAGCCAGTGACGTAAGTCCGATCTGATTTCTCTTCAAACAAAACTAGTTTTGCTGTTTTAGCTCCTGGAATGGATCCGTCGTACCATGCCATGGTTGGCGTCACGTCAAACTGACAATTCTCTAGCCGGAGTACAAAAGAAACTCGAGGAGTACCGTACGTACAGAAGAAAACATAAGCCTCCGCGTGTCGAACAGAAGGCCAAACTAGAAACTAACTTCAATACTTTACAAACAAAGTTGCGCTTGTCCAACAGACCTGCTTACATGCCCACTGAAGGAAAGATGGTTTCTGTAAGTCTTCCGTCCATCCAGATCCACCCAACGTTAAACCTTCCTGATTCCAGGATATCGCCAACGCCTGGAAAGGTCTCGAGAATGCCGAGAAGACTTTCGAGGAGTGGCTACTGTCGGAAATGATGCGTTTGGAACGTCTGGAGCACTTGGCTCAAAAGTTCAAGCACAAGGCCGACGCTCACGAAGAATGGACTCGCGGCAAGGAAGAAATGCTTCAGAGCCAGGACTTCAGACAGTGTCGTCTGAACGAGTTGAAAGCGTTGAAGAAGAAACACGAAGCGTTTGAGTCGGACTTGGCCGCTCACCAAGACCGTGTTGAGCAAATCGCCGCCATCGCTCAGGAACTCAAGTGAGTTTTGATTAACGACGTTAGGTAGAAGAAATGACGTTGTTTTGTGGCAGCTCTTTGGAATACCACGACAGCGTGAGTGTCAACGCTCGCTGCCAACGTATCTGCGACCAGTGGGACCGACTGGGTGCTCTGACGCAGCGTCGTCGTCAAGCCCTCGACGAAGCCGAGAGGATCCTCGAGAAGATCGATATCTTACACTTGGAGTTTGCCAAACGTGCCGCTCCATTTAATAACTGGTTGGACGGAACACGGGAAGATCTTGTTGACATTTTCATTGTACACACCGTTGAGGAAATCCAAGGACTTATCGACGCCCACTCTCACTTCAAAGTAATGTCGATCATTTACATATAGATTGGAAGTTAATTGTTTGATGTGTAGGCGACCTTGGGAGAGGCCGATAAGGAGTACCAAAGCATCGTCGGGCTCGTGCGGGAAGTGGAAGCTATCGTTAAACAACATCAAGTACCTGGAGGGTTGCAGAACCCTTACACTACCCTTACTGCTCATGTAAGTATGGTTGTAAGCCTTGTTAGGGGTCTACCGTTTCATCGGAGTGTCATATCATTTCATTCGCATATTGGCGGCGTTCTATAATGTATCTACAAGAAGAAAACAAAGTTTATGAAGGTTGATAGTATTACTACTTACTGTTAGTTAGATCTGTAGACACATTATATTTCCCGCTACCAACCATCCATCACACACCATCATCCGTGGCTTAAGTTAAGTAATGTTGAAATTTGTTGATTGCTTTGCCGAAAGGACGGAATTGGTGGTGACCTTGAGGTAAAAATGTCGGTTGTTTACGTACCTTATGTGTGAAAGATTTTAACAAAGTCGCCTTTACATTTTAGGACCTTACTAGAAAATGGGGCGAAGTCAGGCAGTTGGTACCTCAGAGAGACGCCACCTTGCAAGGCGAGCTCAGGAAACAACAGAACAACGAAATGCTTAGACGCCAATTCGCCGAAAAAGCTAACGCAGTCGGGCCTTGGATCGAGCGCCAACTTGACGCCGTCACCGCCATCGGTATGGGTCTTCACGGTACTCTTGAAGATCAGTTGCATCGTCTGAGGGAATACGAACAGGGTGTTTATGCTTACAAGCCACATATTGAAGAATTGGAGAAGATTAACCAGGCGGTACAAGAAAGCATGATCTTTGAGAATAGGTAAAGTCGTTGTTGATGAGTCAGTGGTGGTGCTATTTTTGGCGTTGTAGGTACACACAATACACAATGGAGACCTTGCGCGTGGGTTGGGAGCAACTGTTGACATCAATCAATCGCAACATCAACGAAGTTGAGAACCAAATTCTTACTCGCGATTCTAAGGGCATTACGCAGCAACAACTTAACGAGTTTAGGTCTTCGTTTAATCACTTCGACAAGAACAGGACCGGCCGTCTTACACCCGAAGAGTTTAAATCGTGTCTTGTTTCTCTTGGTTACTCGATTGGTAAAGACAGGCAAGGAGATATTGACTTCCAGAGGATTTTGGCAGTTGTTGATCCGAATAGCAGCGGCTACGTACACTTTGACGCTTTCTTAGATTTCATGACAAGGGAGAGTACAGACACTGACACCGCCGAGCAAGTCATTGACAGTTTCCGCATCTTAGCTGCTGATAAGGTACTTAGTTGTGTTTGTATATATAAACAAAAGTTATCGTGATTTATTTCCAGCCATACATTCTTCCTGATGAGCTGAGAAGGGAACTTCCGCCAGATCAAGCGGAATATTGTATCCAACGTATGCCGGCATTCAAGGGTCCTGGGGCCGTCCCCGGAGCCCTGGATTACATGTCGTTCTCAACAGCTTTGTACGGAGAATCAGATCTTTAAATTTTCACGCCTCTTTCATAAGTCACGAGGTGATATTATAGCCATAGGGTTATCGAGAATCATATCTCATTGCCTTACCCCCACCCCCCTATCATTGTGACACAATATTTATTTTTCTGATACATTATAGACTCGTAATACTAAAATTGTATCCTTTAGTATTATAAGTCTGCGACAAGTAGCATTGCAGCTTTCTAGCTGAACGACGGACTGGTTTTTCGAATCAGTTCGAAAATTGTAAACCGAGCAACTGTTTTTTTTTGAATTGATGAATTCATTTTTCGATTTTTGCTTGGTATGACGTTTTTATTTTTAACGGAAAGTGGTATGTTATCGCCTTTTTCTGATTATTTACGTACTTTTTTTGCAAGTGCTCAGATTATTTATTTATTTACCTTTCTTTAAGCTTCATTGTACAGATTTTTTTTGGTAAACGCTCTTTACTGCTTGATATACACCCGAGACAAAGGATTAAAGAGCGTTTATTGTTTATTTTTGGTTGGTGTTAATTTATGGTTATTGAAATGTAAAAATTTATTTTTTTTTGCCCAAAGTATACTAACTTTACGTATATCGAATAAATTTTATTTGATTTAATGCGTTTATTTTTATTTTATTTTCAGATATTTGTAGATTCCGCAGCTATTGCTGCGGCGAAATATGTAGTGCTATATGTTCAGAACTTTATATTTCGTAAATTACAGCTATGTGAATATATGTAATTTTAAAACATTTTCTGGTTTCATTTCTAAATTACGGCAAGGTCGTTTTTATATCTTCAGTGTCGAAATTGTTGTGATAAAAGTGATTTTGGTAACTGTCTTAAAAATGTCGAAGTTTTTTATCTTTGCTATCGTTTAGTTGTCTCTAATGCAGTCTCCTGTAGTTAAACTTGCAGTTAAAACATTGCTATTTAAACTGTTTTAGTTGTAAGTCAGGAAAAACAATTTTTTTAGTTACATTTCGCGGCAAAATTCAGATTAAATGATCAAACATCGAAAGCCCGCGAAATTTAAAAATCTCATCATCGTGGATGGAATAAAAAGAAGAGGATCTACGTTTAGTAAGTCGTGAAACAATGTGATGGAGTGTGATCGTAGATTAAGGTTGGTAGGAGTATTTTATGTACAGAAATTGTCCTGGATCTGTTTTATCACTTTTTCAACAAATCAAAGCAATGAAAACATATCATTTAACGTAATAAGGTCATTTGGTCCCCAAATCGGCTTAATTTCTCTCACAACGGAGCAAATAAGATGAAATTATTAAATTTAGAATTTAACCAAGTGCTCCATTACACCGTATCCTCGAGGCTTGACGACAAGCCACTTTTTGCAGTTGTGGTGGCTAGGGGGCGTGATAATGACGTCATGATTAGTGCGGTCGTATTGAAACATGTTGCTTGATTCAGTGTTGTGTACGTGCTTTCGAAGTGGGTGTTACTCTGCAATTCTTTATGCATGAGTTTTTTCAAACGCATCGTAGATAGATATGCAAATTAACTTTTTTAATTTACAAGTTGCGCGCAATTAAATTGTTGTCTGGGGATTATAACATGTACCGGTTTTTCAAAAATAGTGTTTGTTATGTGCCGAATGAACAATTTTCATTAATTTGAATTAAATTAACTGAGCCAGAAGCGCTCAAGTTCAGTGCAAAACTTCTCTCGCTGAATTATAATTTGCTTGTAGGTAATACATTAAGCAGAAATCAATAAAATTCTCTCTAGGGAAATTGCTAGACCAAACTGTAAAAATTGGAAAAATGGAACGGAACGGTTTTCAATTGGACAAATGCATTTTTTGCAGCTCGTACACGTTTGGTGACTGTAATGTTTTGTTCTTTTTCTGTCGTCGTTTTAGTAATTTTCAAAAAATAATTTTGTAAATTATTTGCGGCACAACTTGCATTTTTAAAACGTAATAGCGGCTTTCACACTAAACCTCATTTAACTCCATGGCCACTGATAAGCAGTACTAAATTATTTAGGATCTACTTAACATTCAAAACAAAAATTACAATTACAATTATGGAAATGTTCACGGTGACATTTGTTGTACATATTACAACAGTCAGATTACATGGCAACAGAGTTACCAACACTGTTAAAAAGTATTATTTATAATGTAACTATCCAACTACATGGTCCAGTTTTTCGTCCCGGTCGAATTTACTTTGTTTGAAAAGGAATCTCATTTAGAAAAGCCGTAAATTTTCCAAGCACTTTTCTTTTTACGCCGTTAAATTATTCGCCCCGAGATAATCCGACATTTTGATGTCTACCCAAAACACATTCGCTAGAACATTCATTTTCAACATTCATACGAGCCTTGTTTGTATGGCAATCTCGAAATTATGTGTTAAATATTTTACTGCATGCAAATCAGAACGAATATATAAAACGAATTGCTTTACGTATGAAATAAATAAACGTGGAGAAAACATGAAATAATCATTGTATATGCATGGCCTTTGATGTCTGATGTTTTATGGATTAAGTGCTTTGAGAAATCTTTGATATATCGGTCTGTTGAAACCGCACCTAACCTAACAAGAAGTAAGTCTAATTTAAATTGCATTGCACATATACATTTCAGAATATTGCATTGTCGCTTGCAGGTGCAGAATAAAAATGCACAACTTGTTAACCGCACCGTACGTTTCGTTTTGTGGTGTAAACCGCAAAATTATATAGCTTGTTTACTAAGGTGTTAGTAAAAATATTTGTGGGAGAAATCTGTCCACATCGTACAGCTAGATTGTATTTACAGTAAGTTTAAATCAATAGTTTGCTGAGTTGGGTTAAAAACACCTACCTATTTTTAAATTAAATATTTATTTGGTAGAAATACATATTGATGAAAATATGGTGAAAATTTTATTTGTTTTTCTATTGTTATTTTTGAAACTGAATCGATTTGTTTTTATGTTTTATTTATACTTTACTTACTAAGTTACTACTTCAATAAGACAAATACTTCAAGAAGTAATGTAGTAATGTAGAATTACCACTATTAATGTAGTTGATTCAAGATTGTTAAACTCTTGTTTCAGCATTACAATTTAATTCAAGTCGTTTAGTTAATAAATTATGTTGCTCTTTATTGGTATTTCTGGGCTATTGAAATTTTTGCAATCATGCTCTAATATTTCAAGTTGTTTATTTGAAAGATATTTTTATTAAAATTCCTTCGAATCAAAAGAATTTCAATTTATATCTAACATTTGTCCTTTTTATTACTTCAGAGATGAATCTTTAAAGCAGGGGATGAATAACTGTTTAAACTAATGCTAGAAAAATATTTGATCTCTTAACCGTCTCACAAAAAGGTACTTTGTTGGTTGATTCCGGAGTCTGGTGGATCAATAAAGTTTATTAACCATTACATCCATGCATTATTTTCATAGTCGTGAATTTCTTGGGCAAACTGCGGTTCCAACTTCTTCCTTCTAACTCGCAACTTTGCTATGACTTTTTTAAAAGTGGAATAGTGTTGTTTGGTTGCTTTTATTCCCCTGTTTGTATTTAATCGCGCGAGCTGAAACCACTCGCTGAAGTCGTAGCGAACTAAAATAACAATTTAAGAATTCGATTATCTGTCGGCTAATAAAAACAGCAATATCCGAATTTCCTTAGATTTAATTGACGGAAGAATGTCGCATTTTTGAACAACGCAAAACTCCGAGTCGAATTGGGAGCGACTTGTTTATTGTGGAAATACTGCATTGACGAAACTCGAGCGAAATGACGGATTCGGATTGATGGATATGGAACATTCCTTTTTGAATTCAATGAATGATAGGACGAAGCTATGCAGCCTTTCAAAGTTAAATTACAAAGTCGGCAACATATTGTTCATGGAAGCCGTGCTGTATGAGAAACTGCCTTCGAATGACTTACGAACTTTAAAAATTTAACTTTGAAATTTATGTAGGACATTAAAATTCTTCTAAAACAAATTAATTTCGACTCGACTACAATTTAGTGTGCAGAAGTTTTTAATGAAATGTGCTCTATTGCCAATTTAAATACACATCGCACCAATTTCAGCCGGCCAAAGTTATAAACTTTATTACAAGTTTGTAAAAAAAAACACAAAGCGGCATTGCAGTTTATAAATTGCAATTACATAGTTCAGTAACTGTGTTAATGGTTCTATTATTCACCAGCGACGGGAGTTTCCAAAAAACGCCCACGTATAACGGCAGAAGTAAAATAGTGCCGGCCCTAATAGATATTTAAGAAGCTCGCGCCAACGATATAGAGATATTATTCACCGTTAAATTTTTACAATTTTTTTGTTAGATTTTAGGTAAGGCTAGGAATTACTTGTGTTAATAATTCACTGTCAATGTGTTAAATAAAAGATGTGAACGTACTCTAGACGCAATTTTCAAACATTTTCATTATTTTCTGAACGAGGTAAAATTTTCCATGTGGAGATCTTCGGGTTTTGAGGTCTGCAGTCAAGTTTAACAGCTTCAATCAACTCAATCATTGTAATCTTCAAAAAACATTTTGCGAGATAAAACCTCATGTCATGGAATGTTGTAGGTGCACAGTTCCTCCGTATGTTTACTTTTATTATGCATATGAATAACGATAACAATAAATATTACATAATTACATAATTTCCCTTCCAACAATTGCAACGACCGCAGTTTTCATATTTTAAATACGAAAGTAAATTGCAGCTTCAAGAGGTGTTTTCTACGACAGGAATAAATAAATTATCTTCACAAAGGATCTAAAAAATCACATAGAGATATTTTAACATCAACCTCTACTCAGAGCAAAATAAAGAAAAATCGGGCAAGTCAGCTTAAATCAAGACAATGCCTGCGATATACAACTTCATGAAAATCAAATTAAAACAGATAAGAAGCATCGAGAAAGAATTTTTGATGGTGGACTAAGTAAAATGAAAAATGAAATGTGTAAACTGTAAACTAGTTCCACTGGGAAAACAAAACGCCAATAAAGTTGTGGAAGTAATTCCTAGAATATAGTAAACAACTCTCGCTTGGAAGGGTTAACATGTAGAATGAGGTTGTTATTAAATCATTCAGATTGTAATGTAAGCTAAGGATAACTTGTTGGAGTTCTTCTCACTCTTAATATCATTTTTTCATTAGATGAAATAAATTTAATAAAATTAATCACTCTCTAATTTTTTATTTCATCAAATTAAGAACGAAAATGTGAGAATATTTTTAATAATAATAAATAAAATTTATAATAATAACATTCAGTACATTTTGCTCCCCTGTTTTGGGGACACAAACTCATTCAAATCAAGCAAATTGCGACGTGCTTAATCGTGGCATTCTTTCGGTGTATAAACATAAACAATCGAAGTTAAGCATGTACATTGATGATAATACGAGCCTTCCAACTCGGTCATGGTTCGTAAGTAGATCTCGGCTACGTGAAACACGTGTCAAACATAGCACAAACACTTTTGTAAAGTAATTGTAGTAAAAAATCAAAGGACTTATAAACCATAAGTGCAGGAATAGGTACGTTATTTTATAAAATTTAAATTGTATTTAGTACTCAAAATATTGAGGAGACGTCATCAAATTGTTGGTGGGGA